GGATACTCATGGGAAATTAAAGACAAGTATCCTTAAGGACCAGGTTTTCGTAGAGAAAAAAGTAAATAAAGTTTCTATGATGCAAACTGCTGCATTTTTTTCAAATGTTAAGGAAAATATTTTTCAAAAAGTCTACCACCTTTGCCAAAACATACAGTACAATGCAATACTTTCTATGGTTCTTCGAAACACTGTCTTGATGAACGGATAGAGAAATGGAGTGAAAGGCACTTGGAGAAGACAAAGCAGGTAATGAAGGAAGAACAAGTCAAGGTAAAGCTGTAGAGATCTTTAGGTCCACCTTTTACAGAATGAGAATATGGAACAGACGTTCACTGCAGAAGATATTATGAGTTCCTAGCATATACATATATTACCTCCCGTATAGAAAGAAATATCTAAAAGATAGAACATAGAATAACAGAGTTGGAAGATCCTCTAATCCAACCCCCTGTTCAAGCAGGAGACTCTATACCATTTCAGACAAATGATTGTCCAGTCTGTTTTTGAAACATTGATGGAGCACCCACAACATCTGAAGTATTCCATAGTCTTTAATATTTCAACAATCCTTCATTTACTCATATCTCCATTATCTAAATTTTCTTATTAATGTTCATTCGTAGGAATACAGGCAAATGATCTATGAAGAAAAAAAAATGCTGCAGAGCATTAAGTTTTAATTTGCATCGGAATACTTGATAACTAGACTAACGCTTCCAAAAATGTTTAAGAATCAACCAATGACCTCTGATTTTCCAAAAGTGGCAAATTTCAGACATCACAATAAATCTAATAATGATCCTGTTGAAGGAAAAGTCTGCATCATGGTTCAGTCCCAGTCGAGAATAAACAACATGGGGACTACTTTAGAAAGAAATTTGCAGTTTATTGAAGAGGAGAGCCAGACAGAAAGATAGGTCTGGAAGAAAAGAGAGAGAGCACATGTGGGGAGTGGGTTTTTATACCTTCTGGAGCCTTTTGTTTGGAGTTGTTCCTGTGATATGAACTTTGAGCTGAGTCTAAGTATGCCCTTTGGCATCTGTGGGTTAATCCTATTATGTCCTGTCTTAGAGTTTGGGTGGGGTATGTAGATTTTAGGTGTCTTTGTCTTCCTAAACCTCTAGCTGGGGAGCTCCTACCTTTCTGGATTATTTACATCTGCATTTCTACAGAGCTGGTTTCTGCTTGGGGGAGGTAGCCTTGGGGCTATTAAGAAAACTGGGCATGCTTTTCTGCCTCTTTTAAGATTATTCTGAGGGGGCTGACTTCCCACAATCCTTTGGTTGTGGCCTCAAATATTGTGGGATTCCAGTGATGAGATTTTAGAAATCATAACTGATTTTCAAATGTTTATATTCAAATGCTTCATTTAATTACCATAGTTAAATCAGACCACGTACAACTCTGGTTAGCATGACGTGATTATCCAGACTTGTGTTTCCTGTGCTGCCTTCATAATAGCAGTGTATGAAAAATAGGCTTAGGAATAGAGCTAAATTTTGACATATAAGTAAATAAGTCTTGATTCAAGCAAGATTTCAAATTTTTCTCTTTTTTGTAGCAGAAGGGGAGTATGAATTTGACCAACTGTACAAGAGTAACTGAGTTCATTCTTGTTGGATTTCCAAGTGTTTGGGGAATGGAAAATATGATATTTACTTGTGTCTTTCTGCTCTACCTCCTGTGTCTGATGGGCAACGGACTCATCATTGTGATGGTGATTTTGGACCACCATCTCCAGAAGCCCATGTATTTCTTTCTTAGCAACCTGTCCTGTATTGATATTGGACACACCACAGCTTTTATTCCTAAATTGCTGGTCAACTATCTCTCTGCAAACAATTCCATCTGTTTCTACTGCTGTATCATGCAACTGTTCTTTTACTTCTTCTTTGGCGTTACAGAATTTTTCATCATCACATTGATATCCTTGGACAGATACATAGCAATTTGCCATCCTTTGAGATACTCCACTATTATGACTTCTGGGGTTTGCTTTAAGCTAGCAATTACAGCCTGGTTTGGAGGCTTTTTCTCCATTCTGTATCAGGGTGTATTGACTGCAAGCCTACCTTACTGTGCCTCCAATGTTATCAATCATTTCTATTGTGATGAAGGACCTTTGTTGAAGATTTCTGGAGGAGATACATACGTGATCGAAGCCCTGGGCTTCCTACTGACGGTGCTTGTGATTATGTCCTCTTTGCTTTTCACCCTCATTTCTTATCTCTTCATCATTTGCACCATTCTCCGAATGCCTTCAACCACCAAACAGCAGAGGGCTTTCTCTACTTGTGCTTCCCACCTGGTTGTAGTCTGTATTTTGTATGGGTCAGTCTTTTTTGTCTACTTAAGACCTAATGTCAAGGACTCTTCTTTTAGTATGATGAAATCTGTCTCCATACTGTACACCATGGTCGCCCCGGCACTAAATCCTTTCATTTACACCATTAGGAACAATGAAGTCAAGGATGCAGTAAGGAAGCTTTTGGAAAGGAAGACTGCAGGGGTCCCAAATCTCATGGCATAAGCTTTTGTTGAGAAATGATGCAAAATGACTGTGCTGCCCTATTGAAAGCAACAAGGTTTGGCGCTTCCAGAATCGTCTTCAAAGCTATTGTGCAGATATTCTGTAACTAATCTACCTTAATAAAGATGGAGAAAGCAGTGAAATTTTGATGCCATGACAAAACAATTGTTGGGAAGCTTCTGTGGTCTAGTACTGCCTTGGCAACTTTAAGACTTGTGGACCTCAACTCCCAGAATTCCTCAGTATAAAATTGATGGGAGTTGAAGTCCACACTTCTTAAAATTGCCAAGGTTGGAGACTTCAGAATCCCCTTCAAAGCTATTATGCAGATATTCTGTAACAAACCTAACTTGATAAAAATGGAATCTGGCAAGTTGCAAATGGAAGTTTTGCTTGTCTTAATGTGCAATTTTGATCCCATGACAAAAGGATTGTTGGGAAGCTTCCATGGTATTGTACTGCCTAGGCAACTTTAAGAACTTGTGGACCTCAACTCCCAGAATTCCTCAGCCAGCATGAAGTTGATGGGAGTTAAAGTCTACAATTCTTAAAGTTGCCAAGGATGGAGATCTCCTGCTATAAGGCATAACACTAATAACCTATCTGGAATCATAGCTTTTGAATATAGTTCATTCTTGATGATAGAAATACCTCTTTCTTATCCCACTGCATGGACTATAATATTCACTGAGTATCTTATATTACTTTGGGGATTGTAGTCTGCATTTTGTACAGGTCAGTCTTTTTTGTCTATTTAAGACCTACCATCAAGAACTAGTCCTTCAGTAGGTTGAAGTCTGTCTCCATACTGTACACCATGGTCCCCCCCCCCTGGTATTAAATCCTTTCATTTACACCATTAGGAACAATGAAGTCAAGGAGGCAGTGAGGAAACTTTTAGAAAGAAAGGCTCCAGGTCTCCCAGATCTCTTAGCATAGCCTTTGTTGACAAGTGATGGAAAACTACTATGTCATCCTATTAGAAGCATCAAGCTTCGGAGCTTCAGAATCCATCTCCAAAGCAGATATTCTTTAACAAGTCTATCTTAACAAAGATGGAGAAAAAACAGTGGCTAAACTGGTAGGTTACAATTGTCTATGGAGAGTCTCAGTCATCCAAGTCATGGTTGTCCCTAAGGTGCTTTTTCAAAGGGCAACTGGACTTTCTTTGTTTTTCCTTGAAGATGTTTCACTTCTCATCCAAGAAGCTTCAGTCAGAAGTGAAATGTCTTCAAAGAAAAACTCCAGTTGCCTCTTGAAAAAGTACCTTCAGTAGATTACCAATTTTCTTTTTTTAATGTGCAACTGTGTAATGATCACAGAATAAAAGGATTGGTGGGAAGCTCCTGTGATCTATTTATTACTTAGCATATAATGAGAACACAACAAATGAGAGGTAAACATGTACACACAATCCATGTAATTATATACAAAGGTTCTAAGGTGGTACAGGAGTGGCTTCATAACTTGATGTCCAATTCAGCTACCCAGACAATCACCTGGTGTTGCTTCATGCAGGTCATTTAAGGAACCAAAAAATGCACATTGTGGGCAATATTGCACAATACATTTTAGTGTTTGCACTTGTGATCTATTATTGTAAAGCAAAAACTAACAATTTTGTTGCATGGTCATTAGCCACCAACTTGGAGTCACAGCTTTTGAATATAGTTCATTCTTGATTAAAGATATATTTCTATATAGTCTACAAAGTTCATTTAGTATCTGGATTATCTAATCTGGCAAAGACTTGAGTCACGACCATTTTGATGAAGAAATGACAGCCTACTATTTTCAAATTATATTTTAGTGAAATAAGTTCACTAGACTCTGTTAGAAGTAAGTCTTCATCCTGGTTCATTCAAGCCGGGAATAAATAAGCAAACATGGCGACTGCTTTGGGAAGAAGGTTACAGTTTATTGCAGAAGACAGATGGTCCTTGCAAGAAGCAGCAGAGGAGAAGAAAGAGAGGGAGGACATGGGCAGAAGGTCTTTTTATACCCTCTAGCCCTGCTTGGAATAGTTTCCTGTTCCTGTGGCATGAACTTTGAGGATATTTCTGAGTGTTTTTCTAGGCTTTGATATCTGTGGTTTAATCCCATTATCATATCCTGCTTCCCAGGTGATGGGGCTAATGACTCTTAAGAGCTTCTTTTGTCTTGAGATCCCTGGCTCCAAACTTCCTGATGGTTCCACATCTACATATGTATAAGACTAGCTACTGTTTTGGGCAAAGAGATGAGGCCAGGTTTGGTTTCTGCTTTTCAAAAAAATGCTTTTAAAAATCCTTTTGGTGAACAATATCTTTCTTTCTGCCTTTTTAATATTTCCTTCTCTGGGCTAACTTCCCACAACTCAGAGAAAACAAATCTTGTGATAAAAGAGTAGGACTTTTTTCTTATTGCCAATGTTTGTGAGATGAGCCTAAATAGCACTGCCCTTTAGGTATTGATCAGGATTTTAGAATAACAGAATAACAGAGTTGGAAGGGACATTGGAGGTCTTCTAGTCCAACCCCTTGATCAAACAGGAGACCTTATACCATTTCAGACAAATGGCTGTCCAATCTCTTCTTAAAAGCCTCCAGGAATGGAACAACCACAACTTCTGGAGGCAAGCCATTCCACTGATTAATTGTACTCATGGGAAATTAAAGACAAGTATCCTTAAGGACCAAGTTTTCGTAGAGAAAAAAGTAAATAAAGTTTCTATGATGCAAACTGCTGCATTTTTTTTCAAATGTTAAGGAAAATATTTTTCAAAAAGTCTACCACCTTTGCCAAAACATACAGTACAATACAATACTTTCTATGGTTCTTCGAAACACTGTCTTGATGAACGGATAGAGAAATGGAGTGAAAGGAACTTGGAGAAGACAAAGCAGGTAATGAAGGAAGAACAAGTCAAGGTAAAGCTGTAGAGATCTTTAGGTCCACCTTTTATAGAATGAGAATATGGAACAGACGTTCACTGCAGAAGTTATTATGAGTTCCTAGCATATACATATATTACCTCTCTTATAGAAAGAAATAACTAAAAGATAGAACATAGAATAACAGAGTTGGAAGATGCTCTAATCCAACCCCCTGTTCAAGCAGGAGACTCTATACCATTTCAGACAAATGATTGTCCAGTCTGTTTTTGAAACATTGATGGAGCACCCACAACTTCTGAAGGCAAAGTATTCCATAGGCTTTTATATTTCAGCAACCCTTCATGTTCATTCATAGGGATACAGGCAAATGATCTATGAAGAGAAAAAAATGCTGCAGAGAATTAAGTTTTAATTTGCATCGGAATACTTGATAATTAGACTAACGCTTCTAAAAATGTTTAAGAATCGACCAATGACCTCTGATTTTCCAAAAGTGGCAAATTTCAGACATCACAATAAATCTAATAATGATCCTGTTGAAGGAAAAGTCTGCATCATGGTTCAGTCCCAGTCGGGAATAAACAACATGGGGACTGCTTTAGAAAGAAGGTTGCTGTTTATTGAAGAGGAGAGCCAGACAGAAAGATGGGTCTGGAAGAAAAGAGAGAGACCACATGTGGGGAGCCTCTGGAGCCTTTTGCTTGGAGTTGTTCCTGTGGCATGAACTTTGACCTGAGTCTAAGTGTGCCCTTTAGCATCTGTGGGTTAATCCTATTATGTCCTGTCTTAGAGTTTGGGTGGGGTATGTAGATTTTAGGTGTCTTTGTCTTCCTAAACCTCTAGCTGGGGGCCTTCAACCTTCCTGGATTATTTACATCTGCATTTCTACAGAGCTGGTTTCTGCTTGGGGGAGGGATACCTGGGGCTATTAAGAAAACTGGGCATGCTTTTCTGCCTCTTTTAAGATTATTTTGAGGGGGCTGACATCCCACAATCCTTTGGTTGTGGCCTCAAGTATTGTGGGATTCCAGTGATGGGGTTTTAGAAATCATAACTGATTTCTTGTCCCAGTTTCAAAAAGTCATAATACACAGAAGATGACAAATCTTGGAGCAATTTGATTCAAACTATACCAGGTTCACCACCATGGCGACTCAAAATAGTATCTTTTTAGCATTATGTCTGGATTCACATGGGAAATTAGAGATGTATTCCCAAGCTCCATAACTCTTAAGTCCATGAGGTAATGGGCAAAAAAGACTTTGAAAATACTAAGTTATATGTTTTTCTTTATTGGAGTAGATAAAATGTTTCTTTGATATCTAGGAGATTCTGTTTGTGGATCCAGAATATCCACTAAGAACTTGTAAAAAGAATTTTGTTTTTATTTTGAAATATAGCTAACAGGTGTCCCTATTACTGCTTTTCTTGTCTCAGCTTGAAATGGAGAACAATCTCTCACTATTGAGGATCTTGAATTCCTATTCCTAAGAATGCTTGGGTATGTGCATGTGGAAATACATTACTTGTGTCCTTTCCGTAGTTTAGGATACAACCAAATTTATCCAAGAAGAGAAAGGAATTTACCAAATATACATTTACAAACTGTGTTGATGCCTAGATAAGATTATATTAGATTAGATAACCTTTATTATATTTTTCCTGTGGGCACAATGGCACACATTACAAATGAAATTTAGTTGCTTCCTCTCAAAGTGTACACATACATAACACACGTTTAAAACATACTATATACAACATATGTACACCCTTACATATTAGTAACATATACATATTAATCACTGTCCATCTTGAATACTGTACATAATGGAAGGAGGAAGCTTGAGAGTTCACAAGGTTAATACTGTATGGAACAAAGCTGTGACTGAATCTGGATGTTCTGCTTCAGATACCACGGAGCCTCCTCCCAGAAGGTAACAAGGAAAACAAGTTGTGAAGAGGATGTGTAGTGTCCCAGAAATCTTGCAGACGTTGCTCAAGCAGCACTTCTGTGCTATGTCCTGGATGGAAGGGAGGGAGGGAACTGCCAATCTTTTCAGCCATCCTCACCACTCTCTGCACCGCCTTCCTGTCTGAAGCAGTGAAGATTCCAAACCAGACTGT